CAGCGGGACCTAGACCGTTAGGATTGCTGCCTTCAAGTTTCAGAAACATCGTAGTTGTTTATAAAAGCACATCTGACATCAGTATGTCTGCAGAACCGTTATTAACCTCCTGATGAAGTGCTTTGTTGGTGTAAAGAGTTAGCTGCAACTGCGGTGGTTTGTGTAGAAACAAAACCTTCCCAATGTACCTGGTTTAGTCTGAACCCTCTAAGAGTTATTTAAAACAAATACAATTAATTTTTCATAACCTCAAAAGACCTACAGCAACACTGTCTTGATCCTGGGTGAGAGAGGAGGAGAGTTATGGCTCTGCCACAGGATCTCCTCCCAGCGGGATGAGGCCAGGAGTGATCCCTAAGGCCCATTCCACCAGTATGTCCTCAGAGTGTCTCCACCTGGTTCGGCTGGGTTCCAAGTTATTTCCACTATAGGGTACTGGGTTGCTGCCCCCTTTTTTTTTTGCACCTTCTACTAAAGTGTATTGAGCTGGGCCAAAAACATGACATCAGAGGCTGTCGGTCACTGATTGGCCACCATCAGAGCAGAATATTTTACATGTCTAGGGCGACAGAACGATAGCAATATATATTTTTTCAAATAACTTTTCCTCGATAGACATTTGAGAATGGATCACGACATTGTTGAAAATAAGGGGCACACTGATGAAGACCAGGCTGCCGTACACTGGCATCACTGGTCCCTCCGACCACCACCAGCAGGCAAGGTCAATCAGTCAATCAGATTTTAAGTCAGGGCGCTCAGAGGAGGGGGAGCATAGACCCCCACCTCCACTTAAACACTACCGGTAGAGCGCCCAGGAAGCAACAGTCTACACCACCCCTGGGGCAGAGGGCCGCCACAGAGAAAACCCTGGATTAAAATGAGTAAAAATATGAAAATAAAAGAGCTAATATAAATGACAAAAGTAAGAAAGTAAATAAATAAATCATATAGACAGTAAAATAATATTAAATAATGAAACTGTGCTAAAATATAATCATGTAAAACATGCAAAGCCAGTAATAAAATGTAATGATGTAAAACGAGAAATGAAAGTATAGTAAATATTTAGATAAAAGCTAACCTAAACAGATGGGTCTTGAGCCTGGACTTCGTTCTCTGCGGCCCTGAGGTCCTCTGGTAGCTCGTTCCAGAGGCGAGGGCCGTAATACTGGGAGGACGCCTCACGGTGAGTGTGTGTCCTGACTTTAGGGATGACCAGGAGACGCCTGCCAGAGGAGCGCAGAGGCCGTGAGGGGTCATGTGGTAAAAGCAGTTCTGAGAGATAAGAAGGCCCGAGACCGTTAAGACACTTAGAGAGCAAGTCACCCCCTACCAGATTCTTACTCAACTCCCACTTCCTGTTTGAAAAATGCAACAAATGCTGTTGCCGAGCAGACAGAGAGGGTGGAGCCGCTAACAAATTCACACACAAGACATTGTGACATCATAATGTACCATCTAACATCATAGTGTACCTCTTAGCCAATAGCGATGGCAGATTTAAATTCAAATGCAGTGCTGAGTTTTTACCTGACGACGGTGCAACGCTTACAGTTTTAGGCAGAATATTTAAATTTTAACTAACATGCACTAAAGTGCCGAATTATTGACTACATTTGCCAACAGCACGATCAGACACTCTTTTATATAGTTTATCAGCAAATAAATGTTGATTTGGAGTGATTTGCTTTTTAAATTTGGTCCTGAAACATACGGGGAGCCAATGCAATGATTCTAAAACCGGTGTAATGTGCTCCTGCCTCCTGGTCTTCGTCAGGACACGTGCCGCCGAATTTTGTAGAAGTTGTAAGCCTGAGATGCTCTTTTTGGGAAGACCAGAAAGCGGGGTATTACAGTAGTCCATTCTACTGGTGATAAAAGCATGCATCAGCATCTCCGTATTGGCCCGAGAGAGAATAGGGCGGGCTCTGGCGATGTTCTTTAGATAATAAAAACCTATTTTTGTAATGTTTTTAATGTGTGGGATAAAAGTCAGCTCAGAGTCAAAAATCACACCCAGGTTCTTCACTTCTTCAGAAGGATTAAAAGACAGAGATTGTAATTTCGGTAAAAGTTTCTCTCCCTGGGCCTCAGGACCAATGACTAAAACTTCAGTTTTGTCCTGGTTGAGCTGGAGAAAGTTCTCTGCCATCCAGGATTTTATGTCTAAAATGCAGTTTAAAAGTGCACCCATTGGCCGAGAGTCATCAGGAGACACGGAGATGTACAACTGTGTATCATCAGTGTAACTGTGAAAATTGACTCCATGTCTCCTGATGACCCGCTAAGAGAGAGCATATAAAGGTTAAAAAGCACTGGGCCTAAAATTGAACCCTGGGGCACACCACATGTAATCCCATGGACCGTCGAGGAACAGATATCCAAACTCACCATGAAAGTCTTGTCTGTGAGGTAGGATGTGAACCATCTGTGGACAGCACCGAGTTAAAAGAATAGTGTGGTCTACTGTATCGAAGGCAGCACTTAGATCCAGTAGACCAAACACAGTCAAAGTCCGTTTCTCATAGTTCAATCTAAAATCATTTAAAATCTTCTAAAGGGCCGTCTCGGTGCTGTGGTTCACCCTAAAACCAGACTTAAATTTCTCTAGGACATTATGAGTGTTTACAAAATCATTTAGTTGATTTAAAACCAACTTTTCTAAAATTTTGCTTTAAAAATGGTAAGTTAGATACCGGTTGATAATTGTTTAAATCATTCAAATCTAAATTGCTCTTCTTCAACAGGGGCCTCACCACTGCGCCTTTAAAGGCAGCAGGAAAGACCCCCGTCTGAAGGGAGCAATTCATCAGGTTTAAAATCTCCTCACTAAAAGATCCATAGAATTGTTTAAAAAACCAAGTTGGAATTGGGTCCAGAACACATGTGGTGGGTCTCACTGAGGAGAAAACTTTACCAAGAATCTCAGCTTCTACCAGGACAAAGCTGTCCAGTGTTTCCTCTGGTTTAGACACACATTCAGATTTATCTAAAACCGTATTTCTTAGGGAGGATAAAATATCCCTTCTGATGGTGTCTACCTTCCCTCTGAATTGGGCTGCAAACTCCTCACAGAGTGAGGTGGGTGAAGTGTTTTGCCCAAGGACACGTGACTGACACAGAAGGAGCTTGGGTTTGAACCGACAACTTCTAACCCGAGCCACCATAACCAAAGCTCCAGTCCATCTCACCGATCCCCTCAGATAAAACACCAAGTTGCTTGAACTCCTGTGCAAACAGTCTTCACCCTCTTTGCCGGTTGGTGATGGTCAGAGGGACCGGTGGCACCTGTATGCGGCGTGCCCCAGGGCAGCTGTGGCTACTGTAGCGTCATGAATGGCCTCTAATTTGTGACAAAGGTCACACTTTCCCAGCTGGGTCAAGCTGGGACGAGCCGTAACTTTTGTCCCACAGATTAACCCAGGAGCCGTGAAGTCTGCTGAACAACATCTTTATCTGCTGCTGTTCCGTCCCAAGATGAAGGACACTTCAAGATTTTACAATAATAGTTTTTAAATAATAATTTAACAAACTCTTTGACTTTATTACTGTTTATTACAGTCATCATAAATAATCATCTTGGTTCTGTATAAATGTATTTTAATTACTGAAATGACTTATTATGCTTTGTGTAATAATAATAATAATTATTATTATGATAATCAGTAATGTGTGTTCAGTAAACCAAAAGGTCAGTTGCACGTTAACCACCTCATGCAGAGGGTGAATCCAGGGTAAAGTTTAACCACCTCACATGTCTTTACTTCATGACGACACGCTTTCTGACACTGAGAGGGCGTGTTCCGAGGTTTTGTTAAAACCAAATCTCCGCAGCTGTACCAGTTCTTGAACCATACCAGGAGACGAGGGACGGCCGCCCAAGTCTCTGCTAAGCGTTCTTCACGCCGATAGTCTTGCTTCGAATAAACACAACTGTAACCAGCTGACGCAAAAACTCCTTCAGAGTTGAGCCAGACGCAAGCTCGACACTGTGTACCCGCGACAACTCTGGACCAGAGAGTCGGTTCCACTCGGGTCTTCTCTACCGGACCGAGTACCCTGAGGCTGACAACATGTCGCTCATAACCACCAGGGTGTGAGCGTGTGGGTGGGTGGCTGGTTGGGTTATAAAGTGCCTTGGGGGGGGCTACATAAATACAGGCCATTCACCAAATGTGTATCAGGATTTTATTTTCATGTTCTCTGAGACACAAACGTAACCATGGTGTCAAAGATTAGGACTCTGGTTTGGAGAGGCAACAGGACCGGTGTAACAGGTGGGACCAGCTGGAGCAGCCAGAAATCTGGGGTCAAGTCCAGGTCACTTCCCCACAAAGTCACGTACAGCTGAGCCGCCGGGATGTGGGCAGCCTTCAGCTTTCATCTCATCACCTCCTCCACATCTGGTCTCCTCTTTACATCCATCGTCGTCGTCTTTCCTCCTCCAGCGTTCCACTTTTATGCAGTCAGCAGTCTGTCGGCAGCATTATTGGGAATTCCCTGGAATTATTTTCAGGGGGACTACCTACTAACTGCACACACACAGACACACACACAGTTCTCAGCTCACCACAGGGAATGGAAACTGTAATATGAACTCACCCTTGGTCTGAATGAAAGCCCATTACAATTTATTTTTACCACAGCAGCCAGTGCAGTGGCTTTTCTGTGGGAGGTTTGGGTTTTTCTGCCCATTTACCACTGTCACTAAAACCATAAAGATATTTCCTCAAGGATAAACAGGTCGTAGAAGAGTCAGCTCCGATTTCTGCACATTTGAAGTCAACCTTTCATCGTTTTGGTGCTTTTAAAACTGTCAGCTTTATGTTTTTGAATAATATTTGCAGTTTTGCTGCTTCATTATGACATAATGTGCTCTGGGAGAATTATTCGCTTGCTTGAGCTTACATTTGAATTTGCCACCTGCTGCTTGTCAGCTCTCATCAAACGCTTGGATGAGCCTTGTAAATACTCACCGTACGTCTCTTCTGTTCCAGGATCTGTCTGGCTCCATTGATGACCTCCCCACTGGGACAGAGGCCGGTCTGGGCCCAGCCGTTGGCGCTGGCGGATCCTCCAACAGCAGCAGTAGCGGCAGTAGCCAAGGGGAGCAGGGAGGCACCGGTAACCAGGGACAGTCCCCCTTTTCTCCTCACGCCTCCCCTCACCTTCCCAGCCAGAGGAGTGGGCCTTCTCCTTCCCCTGTGGGCTCACCGGCGGGCTCCACTCAATCCCAGCAGTCCAGATCCGGGTCGGGACCCATCTCTCCTGCCAACAGCACTGCTCCAGGTAAGGTTCCCATTCGAGCCTCTAGAGCTTGTCCACAATCATTTAACATGATTAAGAGACAACCCCAGGTTAGGATGAATGTTAGCTTAAAGCTGCTACTGAAACCAGCTCCAGGCTTGATTTTACAACTAGTCGTGTTTCCACTACAGGATTTCCAGGAAATTTCTGGGAGAGGTGACAGGGAAAATCTGATGGCACGGTCCACTCAGTCATTGTGTCTCCAAACTAAATCTAAGATGTCAGCATTTTGCATTTCTGCTGTGAGTGATGTCAATGATCAGTGCCAAAAAGTGACCACAAACAGTAATAATAGGGATGGACAATATATCGGCATCAATATCGGTATCGGCCGATGTTAGTTTTTAACATATCGGTATCGATTTGATAAATAAAACCGGGCCAATATTAAAAACCGATATTTTTTCCATCTTGTCTCTATTTTTTTGCCTGTTTCAGAGGGTGAGGGGGTGATGTGTAATTGTTTAGTCACGTGATCAGTGAATGAAATCATCTCAGAACCATAAATGTGTGTGTTGTGTGTGCATAACAACGTAAATTCAGCTTTAATCATTTTCATTCTATACAAAATCTGCTGGTAGAAGCACTAATGCCAGTATATTGGTATCGGCAAATATCGGTTATCGGCCATAACAGTGATCTCAATATCAGATATCGGTTATCGGCCATAACAGTGATCTCAATATCAGATATCGGTTATCGGCCATAACAGTGATCTCAATTTCAGATATCGGTTATCGGCCATAACAGTGATCTCAATATCAGATATCGGTTATCGGCCATAACAGTGATCTCAATATCAGATATCGGTATCGGCCATAACAGTGATCTCAATATCAGATATCGGTTATCGGCCATAACAGTGATCTCAATATCAGATATCGGTTATCGGCCATAACAGTGATCTCAATATCAGATATCGATATCGGCCATAACAGTGATCTCAATATCAGATATCGGTATCGGCCATAACAGTGATCTCAATATCAGATATCGGTTATCTGCCATAACAGTGATCTCAATATCAGATATCGGTATCGGCCCAAAAAGTTCATTTTGCTGCATCACTAATAACATTAAAGTTTTATTCATTCCACATAATTTAATCCACTGGGACACCAGGAGAGCAGCTGTGTGACGTAAAATGCGACGCTCAATGATCAAAAGAAGTGCAGCTTTCTATGGCGCTCTATTCGAGACCACAAGCTGCAAGGTTACAGATTTCTGTCGCATTTTATGGCACTGGGAGTTTAGAAGAGACTAATTTAAAACACCGTTAACGCTTCTTATTTTCTTTCCATTTCACTTCAACAGTAACTTCAGTTCAACAAATATTGGTTATTTGCCAACGTCAGACATCATTTACTGCTGAGTAACAACAATCAGCATAAGGTGACCACAAGTTCTGCCCAGTGACTTTACCAGGCCATTTCAGAGTACGTACCCCAGTCCAGGTACTCCGATGGTACCAAAAATGACCTGGAAAGTGGTCAGGATGGTCCTGTGACATGGAGACACGTGCATGGCGCGAAGATCCGGTAAACCTACCTGGAAGTTCCGATAGTGGAAATAGATCTCCCTCTCTGGGAGTCGAATAATGTTCTAAATCTAATTTCTTAGTGGCTCCAAACAGGAAACAGAAGAAAAGACAATAGAACAATCCAAACACATGCAACAGTCAGAGAAGTCATGTGTGATGAACTAGACGGGGCTGATGATGGGAAAATCAGCTCAGTGGCCGCCTTGAGGCTGGGCGATCAGGGTTCAATTCCTGGTCGGGTCACACCAAAGAAGGCCTCCCTGCTTGACACTCAGCATTAAGGGGTTGGATTGGGGGGGTTAAACCACCAAATGGTTCCCGTGCGGCTGCGTCTGCAGCTCAGCGGGCCCCAGGGTCAGATGCGGAGAACAAATTTTGCACACACCAGTGTGTGTGAAACTGATGGGACTTTAACTCTAAAATGATTCAGCACCTGTTCCAGACTCTGGTCAGGTGGGTTTGGGATTCATGCTGGAAGTTTTAGGGTCAATGAAGATAACAAACCAGCTAATTTCTGAGGGAGAATCTTGTTCCTTTTGTCTTTTCTTCCTCCAAATGACATTTAAAAAGCCTTAAACCCTGTTTGATTATTACAACAGCTGCTCTTCTGGTTTAAAAAAAAATAACAGCTCTGCTTTTGGTTCAGGCATGTCCGTTATTCATGCATTAAAAACAATGAAGCAGTTTTTGCACGTTTTGTCTCGCTTTCCTCTCATTATGTAGCCAAATTAGATGAGCCGGAACAGCAATAACAGAGCCAAGCTGAGGATGCTCCTTCTCTAACTTAATATGTTGTTAAAGTAAACACTACTGCCACCTAGTGGTGTGGTGGAGGTATTTTAGACAAATACTTAAAAACAAATAAAACATGTTTAAATATGTATTTGGAGTAGATGGAGCCACCGTGTAAATGACTTTGTTCTTCAGGCTGTGTGACTTTAA